TTTTATAGTTTTCAAGTTAATTAGCTTGCTCGCTCAGCCAGACCCTTTTTTTCCCCAGCAACCTGCTGCAGCTGCAACACTCTCTTCCCTCCCCTTGCATCAGCCAGCTCTCTAAATGGTGGCTAAATGGAGCTCCTGGAGCAAGCTGAACTTTTTTTTTTTATCCATGTCCAGAATTATAAGCCTGTAGAACACACAGACGCAATAGCTTCTAAGAGCTTTCTCGCCCATGCATATGAGATACAGAACAGCAAGAAATATACAGTGGCTTTGCAAAGCTGGGAGGGAAATGGCTTGTGGGCTATAATAATACCATTGTTCCAACATATCCAATCATTAATACCTCACAGGGCACAGTATGAAATGTCTTTTGGAGTAAATGATCTTAGAAAGTATCTTACATTATTTTGGGTTAGACTGTCTCTGTACCTCTGGCTCTCTTCTTCCCCTCTTATTGATTTGTCCTGTCCCACAGCCCACCCGCACTCAATCTGTCATGCCTTCATTAAAGTTCCTCGAGGCGGCCACTCAGCACGAAGCATGTAGGACTCATGATGATCAGTGATGACCTTCAATCCGCCAAAGCCGGATCCTCCTTTCTGAATTGGCGGTGTGTACGAGGGGCTGGGGCCTTGCGAACCGGGTCTTTAAATCACCCCTTCATTCCGGCAAAAACATTAATTGGGTCAGTTAAGTAGCAATAGCGAGTGAACAATGCATTAACAGCTGATGCTGCACAGTCACTGGCAATAAGATCTGGGCAACACAACGAAAGGGTGAACCTCCAGGAAGATAAAACCATTTGCTCAAGGCAGTATCCACTGAGTAATGGGGCAGTGCAGGTGGTTCAGTTTGCATCCTCCTGGTGAGAAGCTCTAGGTCACGGAACAGCTAATGCCTCCTAATTAAGCATTAGAGAGCACAGGTGAAGTGAAAAAGATGACCTGAGCAGCTCAGCAATATTAAATATCAATACCAGTTTATGAGGATAGTCATCTGATAACAAGATTTCCATAGAGGGCAAGGACCACTCTGAGAGTTTTTTCATTAGTAAAATTGAAGAAAATAAGTGACAATTAATTGTGGCCATGTTTTGGGTCTTAAATACAGCTGATGCAGAGATCTTTTTTTAAAATTAAATATTAATGCCACTTTCACTTTTATTTCAGAGGAGGCTGATGATGAAGATTTCTTCTGCTTCCAATAGTACAGAAGATATTCTAATTTTCCTGGCGTTAATGAAACTGCAGGCATGGAAGAAAACATTCTGTGCAAAAAGGTCAAATAGCTTTCGTCCCTAATTCGGCAGCTTATGAACATTACACTTAATTAGGATAAAAGACCCGTAGGACAATAGATACGAGCTGCTACTGTATGGTATTAAAAAAAAAAAAGAAAAAGAGCAAAATAATTCAGGAGATAGTCTTGGGCAGCTCTGAATGGTTGGCTGCTTAATTGAGTTAAATGAGGAGCGAAAAAGAGTGACAGAATGTTAGGAGTCTTGGAGGACATGATTGCCTCTGTATATCCTTAAAGGTGAGGACATTAAAGGTACTGATGAGGATCATTAATATTGTTGCTCTCATGTTATTCCCATGTTATTATAGCTATCATTCTTCTTGTGTGATTCAAAAGGTACAGCACTCAGCTCTAAGATACAAGCAGAAGGAGTTGTTTCTTAGGAAATGAGTGAAAATGTGCACCCAGGGATGGCACTTGAGGATAAGGCAGAGTATTTGCCCTGAGAGAGTTAAGTACACTCACAGTAGGGTATGTTTCAGACTCATTAGGAGTTTCTGAATGAGATGGAACAAACAAAGGGCACAAGATATTATTTCAATAGGGAGGTGGAGAGGTTAATGTAGATGTTGCATGTTTTATGACAGGGTGGACCAACACCCAGTGCTGGTGTGTCTGCAGACTTTCATTCCAATGCAACTCTTAAAGACATAAATCAGCTCCTTACAGGCTTCATTTCTCCTAGTTCTTCAGATCCTGGTGTTTTAAAGAGAAAGAACCCTACAGCGTTGTGGGAATCTGGAACAACTTTCCCAACCATGTTGTTGAATTCGAAATCCTGGTCCCCTTCAAAACACTGTTGGATATTCCTTACTAACTACCAAATGGGCTAGTTGGGCCAAAAGGCCTCTTCTTGATTGTGACTTGTCCTTACTTTTTATGTTATACCTGGCAAAATAATCGGAGATGGCCAAATGTTAACCTGCTGACCAGCACATTTTGTGATTTGTGCCACCCTTGTATATTGGAAGCATAATCCTAAAACAGAGAAATAATTTCACTGCAACAGCCCTGCACACAGTCAGAAAACATTTATGTTTTGCCATTCACTTCCTAATTTTGAGATTTCTAGCATCGTTAATTCAGTACCATGCTTGTTCTCAGTCCATGAATGTTTTAAAACAATCATGCGTATATGGTGTTGTTACCAACATTAGTATTGATATCCTTCAACTCCAAAAAATATATTCTCCACGTTGAATGTGATCCACATATTTCATGTCCTGTATATGTAATTGATAGTGATATCTCTAAGTCTTATTATTTTTACTTCTATACACAATTATTTCAGTGTAGGACAATAAGCTACTCTAACTCAAGCAACATTCTAAAAATACATTTTTTAAACATAATCACCAGGCTCCACACAACAGGCCCCTCAAAATAACCATTACGTTTCTGTCTCTAATTCCTGTGTGGGTCCACTAGTTCTCTGAACATTTCCTTACCATCGAAAGGCACAGAGCCACCTGCAGTGAGGGCAGCTCTCCTCTTGTTAGTCCACAGCTCACAATGCATTAAGACCCATTAATCTGGCAACTGTATTAATTGTAATTTATGAGCCTGTGGAGAACTTCACAGCCACTTCCTCCGTCGTCGTTCCTGGCTCCGCACAAGGTGACCTCGCTAGCTCCATTAGAGAGTCAGTGCCCTGTCTGTCGTGGGGGCCTTTAACTTTATTAAAGGGACGAACTGCACAGCAGAAGTTATTGATCGAGCTCTCCATTGGAGAGAGAGAGAACAAACAGCCCCTCTGAGCATCGTTTGCCTGCTGAAGTGAACTTATGTGCAATAGGCACTTCCTACCGAGGAGAAAAAGCCCGTTTGGAAAAGCTTTTTTTTTTTTCCCAAGGAGAGTAATGGGCTTTCCTGGATTTTAACTGTCTCCCCATTCAGATATATAACTCTGCCAATATACCATTCTGCTGTCAGCTCTGTGTAGGCCAAACACCTGGTCAGCTTCAATCCACAAAACCCTTTTTCAGCCACCTTCGTGTATCACCTTTTCATAGGCCCCAATCTTCTATTTCAATCAGTTCCACTTATTAAAAAATTCACATTTCAAATTCAAGTCAATGGCTTGGTTAAAAGCTTGGCTTATTACTTGTGCAGCGTACTGTAAGTACTGTACAGTGAAACGTGGTAGGACTATTGCTTTGCCTGAGCGCTGATATCTTTATGGGAAAAGATATTTTAGAATGAAGAATTGATGGGCGCCATGGCGACGCAGTGGTTAGCATTACTGCTTCACAGTGCTGGGGCGCTGGGTTCAATCTCAGTATAGGGGTGCTACTGTATCTACAATGAGATTTGTATGTTCTCCCCATGTTTGCCTGGGCTTCCTCTGGACACTCTTTTCCTCCCAAAGACATACTGACAGGATAATTGGCTTCTGGGAAAACTGGTCAATTTTCCCAGTTTTATAGTTGCGTGTTTGTGTCTGTATGTGCCCTGTGATGGACTGGAATAGCATCCAAGGTGTAGCCCACCCTGCACCTGTTACAGGCCCAAACTAATCTTCCATTGTTTGAGCTGTAATGTGTGGGTACTCAGAGCAAATATGAAGAAAGACCTCCCACTGCTGATATTAGTACCTTAAAAAGGAAGCTAAATGTGATCTTGTTCTTGATACATTCACAAGCCTTGGAAGAAAATTCTAAAGATATGAAAAATTAAGGCCATTAATTCCCAGCACAGATCAAACAGGGTGGAGGCAGGGAGCAGGCAGCAGGAGGAAGACTTCAATGGCATTAAGCCCCCTAAAGAGTTCTGACTGAAAGCACAGTGTGGAGTAATAATAATTGCTTACACTTACAGTATATAGCATTTTCCTGGACACTCCTCTCAAAGTGCTTTACAGGTAATGGGGATTCCCCTCCACCACCACCAGTGTGCAGCCCCACCTGGATGATGCAATGGCAGCCATAGTGCGCCAGTACACTCCCCACACACCAGGGATCAGTGGGGAGGAAAACAGAGTGATGAAGACAATTCATGGTGATTATTAGGAAGCCATGATTAGTAAAAGACAACGGGAAATTTGGCCAGGACGCCGAGGTAACACCCCTACTCTTTTCAAGAAACACCCTGGGATTTTAAATAATCACAAAGAGTCAGGACCTCGGTTTTACATCTCATCCGAAGGACAGAATATTTTTACAGTATGGTGCCCCCATCACTATACATGGGGCATTAGGACCCACATAGACTGTGAGGCTGGAAAATGGTTTTCATGTGCAAAGGCTTATTCAATGCATAATGGTGAATAGTTTGTTGTAATGCATTTACTGTATAGTCATCTGAAAGCCCTTAGGTAAAGTCTTATAAACTGCCTGTAATGTATCTGTCCACAGATAACAACACAGAAAAGACACAAAAGGCATCCAGTAGGACTTAACTTTTGCTTCAAAAACTTGTTCTCAAAAACACCATCAAATGCACTGTATTTACACTACGGTATGTAAAGTGTATTCCTAATTTAACATCTCAGAATTGGACATGTACAACTAGCCCAGATCACCCTGTAGACTTTTTTGTGTTTTATAATAAAGGCCCTCACTGTGGATGAACTGCCGGCCACTAAGAGCATCTTCAACTTTTCAGCTGTTCAAAGCTCATAACTGGAGAACACTAGCAACAGAAAATAAAAACCAAGAAAAACAGCCTCTAATCATTATTTAAAGCCAGCATCCTGACAGAAAGTCTACAGCTGTGCTGCCTATCTCCGTGGAAGCCACAGACAGATAACAGGGATCATCTGCGAAATGGAACCGTAGTGCTGAAAAAAAAACTATTGTACTTCAATTTGGAAATCACTCAGAGAGAAAAGGTGTGCGTGGGGGAGGTGTTGTTTTCCAAAATTGGATTTTGCATTTTAGGATACTCCTGTGGGTCTGCTTGCACTGGATGCAAGGGAAGGAATAGGAATACATTCTGGAAATTGTGGCTGCAAACACAAGCCTACGAAGCTCCAGTTTTGTTTGTTTTTTGTTGCAATGCCTTTCTGCCAGAGGGCTACAGTAATATGCGGGAATGCTGTGAAAGGAGTCCTGGGCTTTCCGAGGTGCCACGGCAGCTGTCCCACAGGTAAAATCATAAGCTGCACAAGCATTTGCATGCAATCTCTTGTGGCCCTGGAGTGACAGCTGATGTGTGAGTGTTTGCAGAGGTTATTTCCTCAGGTCTGTGAATGTGCGTAACAAGCCGATGTTCAATTCCTATGGCGAAGACCCACTTGTCACACTGGATGGCTTTATGTTTCCTGCTCCCAAACGATCTTACAGCAAATGGATAATGCCATAAGCTCATGGTTTATGCATTTTCAAGGTGAGACCAGAGAAAGCCAAAGGACAGGCTTTTTAAGGGTGAGTGAACCTTCTTAAAGCCTGTGAAGGGTCATCAGTATCAGAGGGAATGACGCACCAGCAGAAGCATGGATTGAGAACAGCAAAAATTCTCCCCCTAAGGTATATGCTTCATGTCCAAGTCTTTTTAATTCACACTTGTGGCATGGGTGTTATCTTCTACATATGGTTTAGACGTAATCCACGTCTTATAAGAACATAATATATATGTCTTCTAGCCTCTTTTTTGAATTTAGAATGGATGGTGGAATATTCTTATTTTTTATGTAATGTATGTGCACTCAGATGGGCAAACATTTCATTCTATGATCCTCCAGCAGGAATTCACAATAACAAGAAATTGTTTCAGGATTATACAAAGATGAGCAACAGCATTCTTTGTCGAAACCACCCCCTGTTTTCACACCAAATGTAAAATGGCCAGACATGCACAAATGCCTTGTGGAAAACAACTGAAACATACTTTACTCTGAGCAAGATGGTGGTGTCGAAATCCACAGCTCTGTTGTATAGTCTCTCCTCACACATCTACACGCTGTGACTCCCCTGCGCCATTCTGTGGCCTTGTTTCACAAAGCCACCAGTAACTGGGGTCTCCAGAGACCACTCACCTGACACTGGTCAGCCTTACCGGTGAGGCTGACAAACAGACATGAAAGACCAATTCAGTCTCAACAGTGTGTTCAGAAACAGCTAGTCATCATGTGGGTTTCCTCTGGGTGCTCCAGCTTCCTCACACAATCCAAAGACATGCTGGTAGGTTAATTGGTCTCTTGGAAAACTGAACCTGGTGTGAGTGCGTATGTTTGTGGGTCTGTGTGTCTGCCCAGTGAAGAACTGGCATCCCATCCAGGGTGCATACTGACTTGTCCTGGCAAGCAACAGTACAGACACCAGCTCCACCACAACACTGAATTGGAAGCGATTAGAAATTAGATTGATGGGTGTAAATGGGAAAAACATGAAAAGCATCAATTACTCAGGAACTGGAGCTGCAGTGTTTTGTCCCTCTCCTGCACATCTTTTAACTTAGATTTTCTATAGCTGCCAAACATTCACAATTCTTGTTATATTAAGTACCGAATTATGTACAAATAAAGAAGAACTAATAAACCTCATTAAAAGAAAAAAAAGCGCCATGATGCATCAAACATCTTGAACAACCCCTGAAGGATGTTCCTTTTCTTTGCTTCTTTTAGAAAGATTATCTTTTTTTTTTTTTTTTTTTGTCTTTGTGTCATCCCAGTCCTTTGTATTCTGACGGAAGCTTCTGCTACAAGGTCTCCCCTGGAGATAGAGGGGCAGACGGAACAAGTTTGTTTCCAATAGCGATTGGCATGCCGCCTTGGCCAAAGGAATTAGCTGGGGACTTGGAAAAAAATTCACACCGCCGTTCCTGTTAATTACGGCTCAGAGCTATTTAAATACACCTAATTAGCTCAAATGCAAAGCAGATCATTAGATGAAAGCTGTTTGCTCCCTATAGGGGCCGCAGATAGTAACATTAAAAAGGGCAACACAACTTTCCATCTGTACCACTGCACATGACAAACAGCACTGAGGGTTATGTTGATTTGCTCGCTTCCTTCAACTTCTATGGGATTTTTTTGTTATTGATTTGCATTTGGTAAACACAGTTCAAAATGATTCTCTGATCCACTGAAAGACCTACTGTATGACCTGTCTTCCCGGACTAATATAGATACATTTTGTTTATTCCAGCTGCAGATGCAAACAGCGAGTTCAAGGGAGGGCACAGGAAGAAAATAAAATATATTGAATCAAAACAAAAGCAAGCTGTCCTTAAGTCACAATTTCAAAAGGTATGAGGCTAGGTATGTTCAGCAAAATGCTTTTGATTGGACAAATTACTGATTTGAAATTTGCTGTTCAGGTGATCTAACTAATGCTTTATAATTATCTAAGTGAGCTTAAATTTATAAATGTGGACCAGATATAGTTTCATGGCTATTTATTTTTATTTACGCATTACTCTTGTAATCTTTTTTAATGTCACATAAGGCCTGGAACATGTCATTCGTGTAACTCCAAACTGGAGAAAAACAGGTCAGTTTGATCTCAAATTTAGGGAAACAGCATTATTTTAGAATGGCCCTCCATCACAGCATTTTGCTAATTTTCTGTTGGGTGTTTGTCAACCAGAGGAAAGCTCTTACTAGCAGTGTTACATTTACATTATAAGAGAATAACGTTGGAGACATTACAGCTATGTAACTTTGTTGATTCACAAAAACCTTCCACATTCACTACAAATACTGTTTAATAGTATGGTGTGTGATATGGATTTATGTCTGAAGCAACATTTTCGAAAGCATTCTGCATGTACAACAATTGACTTTCTATGTGTATATTCATGTATTGTACGTAACAGTTATGAATTTGTCCTGCTGAGCTCTACTGAAACACCTGTACTGTACCTCATGTTTCCTAACCTGCCTATGTTTGCTACAAACCACAAAGAATATGACACCAGCTCCTGTACAGCAGTACTGTCTGGGACATACATGGAACACAGCCTACAAGGAAACCTGATAACAGAAAGGCAAAACATCAGTATGAGGAGTATACAGTACCTTCCTGTCAGTAAAACAGTCAGTTTCATTTGATGTTCCAGATACAGCTGTGCAAAAGTCATAGATGTTTTGTATTGTTCTACTGTTTTCACTCTGCATAAAAAAGGAAAAAACATCTACTGCAGTTTTAACCATGTTGTTTTAAGATGAACAGTTTATTATTATAGATGTGTATTTTGATGTACAATAAGCTGCCTTTTTAGCGTTATAGATGTGAAGAGACGTACGAATGATGTTGGTGATGAGGAATATCTGACAACGAGTCAACAAAAGCTGTTTGTTCCCTGCAGGAGCTGCAAATAGCAACATGACATTCCAGTTGTACTTAAGCAAAGGACAGAAAGGAAAAATCAAATTAGAGTTGATTGGTAAGTGTGATGGATAAGCTATCACTACAACATGCCATTATTGACTGTCCTTGTATATTTTACCTTGAATTGTGATGATGGTTTTGAAGACTCTGATTATTGTGAATTAAAGATGTTGTGATTCTTCTGAGATGATGGAAAATGCTGTAAAATAGTACATGTATAAAACAAAAATATAGCAATGTTTTTTAGACAATTTACTAGTGTACATTAGAACTTACAGTAAATAATTTGTTTGTGAGTGAGTTCTAAAAATGTCCACAGTTGCAGAGGCTCTAATGGATCTGGGCACATGACAAGCTCTATCACCCATTCTGAGAAGCCTGATCTTAGGTAGAATAAGACCAGAACCATCAGATTTCAGATTAAATGTTAGACTGTTCTCACGCAGTGAATCTTTACAGTAACCTGGAGCTGGACCTATAGTGCCATATATGTAAACACCTGAACAAATTCTAAAATTCACAGGCAGTTATAAGCTGAAGAAGAGCAAGTTTAATAGCGAAAAACCTGCATGTGACAAGCTTGGGTTCTTCAACTTCAATCAAATTTATTAGAATAAAAACATAGGTATCACAGTGCTGGGGCTCTGGGTTCAATTCCTGGAGTGCTCTCTGTATGGAGTTTGTATGTACGTGGGTTTCCTCTGGGTCCTCCAGTTTCCTCCCTCAGTCCAAAAACGTACTGGTCAGTTGGCTTCTGGAAACAACTGACCCTGGTGTGAGTATGCGTGTTTGGATCTGTGTGTGCCCAGGGACGCACTGGGATCCCACCCAGGGCGTATCCTGCCATGATCCTGCTGCTTGTCAGTTTAGGCTCTGCCTCTCCCCACATTACCCTGTACTAGATGAATGTAGGCTTTGAGAAAATAGTTTATGTTTAATACGAGTTCATATTGTAACTCATGATTCTACCTAAAATGTCTATGTCTTTTACACAGTGTGGGAAGAGCAGTCCACGGTGTATATGGAAATCTTGCCTGTGGAAAATATACACTAGCCTTTTTTAAGGCGTTTTTAAAGTCACTTCCATTTTTTCCTCCTCTGGAATCTGAAAGACCACATTTTTAGCGGTAAACCATCACAAATCGTATTCATACTGGTATTCAACACTGGACTCTAGCTTTTCCCAAGCAGCAGGAGCTGACAAGAGCAACTGCAGCCACACAGATCATGGAGTCTCTGCTCACATTGATAATGGAAGTTCCATTATGACAAGGCACAAAATACAGCACATTTCACATGGGTGCGTTTTCTTACAGATCAGCAGCAACTTGATAGTTATACATCCACCTGCTCCAGCAGTAAGGAGGTGGGAGTAGATTTATGGTTATTAATGTGCATCTTCCTTCAGTGACTTTGTGCTGCTGTAGTTGTTTCCTTAATGGGCCCTGAACCCAGGGAGACTGAGGCCATAAAGAACTTCAAAAGACACAGGTTTACGAGTAGCAGCCACACAATTCCACACACTGCGACTAAAACCATGACAACTGTTGAGGCCAATGCTCCCAGGGGCACACTCAGCATGCTTTTTACAGCTGAGGTGATGCTTTAGAGCTTTACACTCTGCAAATCTGTACACTTACTCCTTAATTAATTATTGACCATGCAATTAAGAACAAAAAAGCACAGCATGAAATGTTTGTCTAGGCCTATACCAACAGGTCATAGTGTTTGGTGAAAATAGGAAGAAAAAACACTCTCCTGGAAGCTAAATGGTATTGCAGTCCCAATCTTAGAACACCAACACAGTACTTTAAATACCACTGAGCCCTTAAACAACAAATAAGGAGATCCATTTTAACCCACTGCTAAGTTCTCTGGCCAGATCATCAGTTTACAGAACATATATCTATCAATTTTGGGGTTCCCTTCCTTGGCCCATCCACTTATATGGACACCAGTAAAGGCTTATCAGGCACTCATATTCATATTCACAGATGATCACCACAGAGACGCCTGAACCTAATTTCTCCTTTCGAATAACTGTATCCTGAAAAAACTGCACTGTGGAACAATGACAATTGCTGCACTTGTCAGTGTCCACTAGAGCGACGGATCATCGTGTCTGCCACTTTTCACAGCAGCCAGGCCCTCAATCACCTGGGCTAATTGAGGTATGAAAGTGATCAGCTTGCTTGTTTTCATATTTTCTGCACTCAGTCCCTATCTCCCACAACCTGAGCACACAGAACATAAGCCAGTCGTGCTGATTAGGAGCTGGTTGTCTTATTTCTGACTAAACAGTTCTAGAGGGTGATCTGTTGATGATGAACAGACAGGAGTGGGAAGGACACAGTATCCAACATGCAGTTTTCTTTCTACTCAAGCCCAGTTGGTTACATTTCAGCCCACTTACTTGAATGAGTACAGTCCTAAAACTCACCCAAGAGCTCAGGGTTTATACCAGTTGCAAACCCCATTCAGCTTGTTAAGAGCTGAAAGTAAATTTTAAAAACATCCCAAGAAAGGAAAATCAAAATCAATGACTAGGACTAGGACTTCTGCTTTTTCATCACTATTTACAGTTGAAACCTGGTAATGAGAACCTTTTAAAGCTGATTGCAAAGGTTATGTATAGAGTATGCAAATTAATGTTTGGCATTTCTGTTACACATCCACCCAAAGACTTTCTGGGCTTCACAGTTACAACTGCCCCTTTGTCATAATCATCTCTTTTTTTGTGTGAATTACCAAGGTTAGCACAAATTAAAATGTAACTATTTAACACTGGGCTGCATCTCAAAATCCCATGGTGCTCTTACTATAATCAATTACACAAATTAGATCTCTCACAAAACAGGGACCTCAGTAAAACAAAGAAGCTTTTGCAGTGAAACGCTGTACTTACACATTAATACAGTATATTCAAACCAACTATATATATATACAGTAGCAGATGTTCAGATGCAGCAGCACTGTATCCAAAATAACTACAGATTGTGTACTGTAATAAGCAGGAATTTGGAAATAAACATGGTATAGTTTAACACATTTTTGAATATATATACTGTACACGGCTCTAATAGATGTATCTGTGTGTATGTATTTTTAAAAATCTGTTTAAAATGATCTTTTCATTTACTGGCATTCCAAAAGGAAGACAGCATGTGCCCACACACTGACACACGGGCCAGTATGCTAAGCTCACACCCACATACAGCCCCCAAGGATTCTAGGCTAAGCTGATCAGCAAACTGTCTCACTGTACATGATTGCCTATCAGCAGGACCACTGCTAATCTACAGGCCAGCCTGGCTAGAAAGAGCTGACAGATCACCCAACCAGGCTAATGTTCTGCACCACCAATTAGTGATGATGGACGTCAAATTAGGCAATTTAAAGCACAGTAAAAGTGTGCTACAGAGCCCCTTCCAGCGCATAAGCCGGAGAAGTGGTTGCTCATTCCATAGTAATTGTGTCTGACCGCCTTCCTCGGTGTCCAGTGTCCATCTCCAGGAGCCATGGCCTTCATGTTTAATCAGAATGACACCAGCTAGTCACTACACATGCTAGGCATTGCATGCGAGGATCTGCGTGCAACGTAAGGTATTCAGGTGGCTAAAAAATGTGCCAGTCACCCTCTCTGAGTTAACCCCGATGTGGTTTATTCACATTCACATCAGATCACTGTGCTTATGCTAAGTGACAGTCATGCTTGGGTGTCCATCTGCAGAGGCAGACTACAGGGAAAGCACGGGAAACAACAGCACATATTCTATCAAATTTGGTGCCTATTCTAGCTCAATCATCTCTCACTGTTGGGCTACAGTGTGAGACAAAATTCTTTTGTAAAGCTTGATACACACTCAGATTTCATCCATCCTGCCATTTTCCAATCGCTTTATTCAATATAGGATCACAGGGGAGCCGGAATTTATCCCAACAAGCAACAAGCACAAAGTAGTATGCACCTTGGATAGGACGCCATTGCAGTGCATACACACACACAAACACAAACACTCACACCAGGGCCAGTTTTCCCACAAACCAATTAACCTTCAGACTATGGGAGGAAACCGCAGTACCTTTAGGAAAGCCACACGAACAAGGACAGAAGAACCAGACATAAAGACTGCACCCCAGGTCCGGAATTGAACCCAGGAACCCAGCTCCGTGGGACAGCAATACTAAACACCAAGCCATTTTCCTGCCCACCCTCAGCTTTCAAATAAATGTAAATTGCGGTTGGCATGGATATACAAAATGTTATTTTCCATTAGAACCATTTTCCTCACTTAAAAGTGTATGTAGTATTTAAAGTGCTGTGCTGTGGGTGGATTCTTTAAATATTAGTCCAAGCCCACTACCTGATTTCTCTTTCTTTTCTACTGAGAGCCTCCAGGAATGTAAGTAATCAAACTGTGACTCAATATTTTATTTGTTTGACGTATTGGAAAAGACTAGAAGTAAGTAAAATTACAGTTGCCTTAATTAGGACTAAGTGAACTATTAAAGTGTGTAACTCTACTTAAAGCAAAGAAAGGAAACCTGCTCTCTCCTGACTCAGCTTCTAACAGGAAAATTGAAAGTCAAGAGGTTATCTCCATGGCTTTGTTCCTGCTTTATCTTGTAAGCGATTGGCTGCATCCCTCTTCCTCACTCGGGACTGGACACTAGTCACAGGCAGACCGGTGTCCCCTGACTGACAGACTCTCAGGGCTGCTGGGGAGAGGGGATCGCTCCCAAGCTACCCCCTTCCTCCAGTGTGTTCACAGGGACACCTGCAGTGGTGGCCATGAATGACTAGAACTATATTTTTATCCCCACCACCCTTTTCGTACATTGTGACACATGCTTTGCATTTTGCTTTAAAAAAAACAACAAAGCATAGGAGCCCTCAGCCTTTTTTTTCTGGACACTGCACCAGTTCTAGCTATTCCTATAGCGCTTGTCAAACCAGCTACATGCCTGACAGCACAGTGACAAGTTTATTCCAATTTGAAACAACATCGCCCTGCGGTGATGCGTGAAGGGACTGGCAAGTCGTGCTGGCTTGTGTATGGTTCTCTAATGTAGGACGTTCAGTCCCTGCAGCATTCAGCTTCCTCTCTCTCTCTTTTTTCTTCCTTGCTCTAACAATGAAATTAGCTCAATTATACACTGTGGGCTGCTGTTGCTGCCACACGAGG